AACATCAAAGACGAGGACATATTGAGTCGAAAGAAATTTCAAGAAAGACTGGAAACCCCTTACTTAGCTCTCTGCGACACAATGCCTATCCACAACACTAGAGCTACAACAGTTACGACTCCCGATGATCAGGGTCATCAGATAAAATAATTTATTGGAGAACTCAACGTAGAGCAGAAGAAGAAACTCAACGACGAGTTTAATGTCAGATTTGACTCTAAGAACAAAGACATCCTTAATGCTATCAATGCTCTTAATGCAGGTTCAGATACCTACTTTCTGTGAGCTAGATGCGCTACTGAATACTTTCAACGGTCTCAATGATTGATATATCTATCCTCGAACTAGAAATCGAAAGAGCTGAAGTTGAAATCCAAAGAGGCTTCCAAACTCGACCTCTTTAATTGCAGTTAAGAACACCATCTCGACATCAACCGCTTCAGTGGAAAGAGCATTTTCCGGCATGAATCGTATCTGCACGAAGCTGCGATCAACCATGCGTCCAGAAAGATTAAGTGATCTTTTATGCATTTCGTTAAACAGAGATGTTGTTGATTTGCTGGATTTGGACGAAGTCGTAACAGCATGGGGGAAACATGAGCAATAGGTGGGCTAAAGTCATTAAGGTTTAATATATGACACCTTTTTTGGCGTTTGCGGAGAATCGCTACTGCGCGCTCAAAATCAGTCCGATTTTCATCAAATTTTCACCAAATGTTTGCCAGCACATGCAAAATATGGTTATAAAATTAACAAACAGTAAAATAATGTAAGAATTATTCAGGAAAATCTTAAATCGCAGTACCATTACGCTTTCAAGTTGTGCTCCTGCTGGTTTTAAGTTATATTTATGAAAATATAATTTTTAAACAGTAAAATAGTTGTTCTAAAAAATTGTGTTCGGAAATTTTTGTTTATTTCGTCATTCCGCTGATATGGCGATTTCTTTGACGACTGCAATATATTTCTGAATTGTTCAGTTGTGAATTGCTCTTTATTATTAAAATATCCAAAATTAGAACAAAGCCGAACACAATTTTGAAACTGACGACTTTAGGTTTGTCCTGTGACAATTTGAGAAACATTGGCTGAAACCCGCAAAATTCTTCGGGAGAAAATTGAATTTGAATATTACATTTTCAATGTTTTTCTTATTGCAGCGAAATGTATTTTATTAAATAACTCTGCGATTTTTCAACATTTATCGTTCAAACTTCGTCAGGTAGTAGAACTAGTCTAATGCTATCATGGAAACCTGTAAAAAAAGTTTAGGCAAAATTAACACTCAAAGGTGTTCTGTAACCTTAACTAACTAGTCTAACTGCATAAAATGTATAATGTAGGCTACTTATTACTAAATTGAGAACTTGAAAAACTATATTCATTATTTCATTTATTTATTAAAGCTTTGTTAGTTTGTTAGTGTTACTATAATACTATACGATTTTCACGAATTTGAAATATTCTAAGGAAGCTACTGAAAGGCTATACAACTATATTAAATAACTTAATTTATACTACTATTAATTAATAATTATTAAATAAAGAATAATAATACTTTGCAAATATACTGTGCGTATTAATTAAACAAGTTACTAAAGTAATAGCAAAGCATTTTGATCAGTTGATCACATGGGAGGGGTCACAAAACAGGGGTTATGGCGATATGTCTAAAATATATACAAGTAGCGGCAGCGCACCAATGCACCCCCCCAGGGAAATCTGCACCCCTCCTGTCAGATGAGCATTGATCCGCCCCTGCATGCATCTCTCATTCAAATGAATACCAGTCCTATTCCAATTGGCTCATTCGTGCAATGTAGTCACTCACAATTTACTCTAAGGACAGGGCAATCTTATAATTTGATACAATATTCTAAACTGTTTGTATTATTTCCTGTGTAGAATTGACATGGATAGTGCAGAATTTTTGGAGGAACTGAGACCTTTTCTTCTTCAGACAACAGAACATTTTGTCCATGAACTATTGTCGTTCGCTAAAGCTCCGTTTGACATGGCTTCATATGATGAATGTGTTGTGTATCCTTGGCCAGAAGAACGTTTCCGCGCCGCCATTACTCGTGATGGAGATAATATGAACGAGGAAAGGGAAGGTATGATAAAGAGAGAATTGTATTTTACGTCATGTTTGCTGCTACTTTGTGACAGTGGTGGTACAGTGAATTTACTTTTTTTAAATATCCAGCTATATCTGGTTTAACTCTACTCCATGCTTCAGAACAACATGGACTACGACTCAGTTAGCAGTCTCAGATTAGAAATTTCAAGTTTTCAAACCTTCCCCCAAAATAATGTGAATTATAGCTTTTTCAAATTGCAAAATATCAATTATGTCATTCATATCGGTTTCTTATTTCCTACTGACTAGTATTTAGCATTGATCAGCTGGTTGCATGATTGCATTTACTCAAATACAGACAAATAGTACAGGCCTGCGACTGCTAAAAGATGTACTGTATATATGTTACGATTGCTACACACACGCCGTTCCTCAGAAAGCTGCTATTGCCAGCCGCCATGCGGCATTAGGAAATGTTTATAATAAATCTTTCAATTTATTAGTTTATTTGCCGAAAATCGACTACAATAACAACAAAAACAACCTTAAAACTCGCAAAAAAACGTTCGCAGTACGTACGTTCTGAAATCATACGTTTTTGTTTCTATGGCAACCGTCTCCTGATTGGCGGCATATAATGCCCAATCAACATAAATTAATATAAATTAAAAATGTTTTATACAATGTTGTTCTACACTATATGTTATGCTTTCAGTGTAGTTTGAAATGCTTTACTTTCAGTTTATATTGTTTTCCTCTCAGTATTCCCAATGTGATGGTCATCTAGTATCGATACTACTATCACAATAGTTACCAGCATTACATCATCCTGTCAACCTGCCCTAGTCAAGTATCATGTATTTGTCTTATGGTGCGGGAGTGTGGAGTAGAGTGTTCCCCATTAAACCTTCCTCACTAACCTAACGTATGGTAAATCTTCCTCACGAGTGGTACCCGAATACCCGCAGCTTTTTTGCAACTCTGACTCAATGTTGTGCTGTAGTTTATTTATTCGTTTATTTATTTGTGTTGTGTTATACATAACTTAATTAAAATTAACCATTTTCTGTCTCTAGGTCATTCTTCACCGGTTGTTTGCACTCAGCCAATCTCAGAAAGCACTCCCCTCTCACGATGTGCGTGGAGTGACACTCCTGCAGGATTACACCAAGTGTCTCGTGTACAGGATAGCCCTATACCTCACGGTGAAAGTCTCCGGCCAGTCGAAGTAAATGAAGTTATTGAGATAAGCGACTCAAATGAAGGTTCCGAGAGAATGGATGAGGGCAAAAAACAGACTGAGTATTCACAAAATATTGTATCTGAAGAATATGGGGAAAATTCTGAACGTGTCCAATCAAGCCCAAATGATTGCCATATTTCGCTAACACGTGCAAGTGTATCTGAGGCTGTGCAAAGTGACAAGAGTGCAGAAAGAGAGGAATTATTTACTTCTGAAAAGCACAAGACAGACAGAGCTGAACATGTACATCGACACATACATAAGCATGTGCACAAACATACACATAAACATAGACATGAGCATAAACACAAATATAGATCCAAACATAAACATAAAAATGAACACGAGCACAAGCATAAACGCAAGCACAAACATAGAGATGAATATGAGCATAAAAGGTATGATGTTACAAATGATGATTTGTCTGTTGGTGAAGCATTGTCATGCGTTTCGCGATCTGCTGTACATTACGCTACTCAAGTTGGCCATTCTGAAATTCAAACAAATAACGTTGGGCAAGTTCATTCACCGAAACTGGAAGAAATGCGCAAAGAAATTGACGAGTTAAACGTTCTAATACAACAACATGAAGAACAACTTTTGAGTTTAAACAGAAGGACAGAAAGCTAATGATGAAACTTGTGCGATTAGAGATCAATCAAGATATGGTTTGCATGGGAACTCTGCGAAAGAGTTCGTTTTGTCTTTTTCTTCATGCCAACTGACCTGTGCACGCCGCGGTGAAGACCAGTGGCGTAGCCAGAACGATAATTGGGGGGGGGGGGGCATATTCATATATTCGTGTTCTGCTTTATTAATTTCTTTTGAAATCAATTGTTTTCATGGTATGTGAACACGAATATATGAATATGTCCCCCCCCCCCCAAAATTATCGTTCTGGCTACGCCACTGGTGAAGACAATTTATTTTTGGCATAAGGAAGCAACCATCCAATGGCATTATCTCGTCGAATCACTCAACTGTACTATTGAAATATTGTTACAGTAATTAATAACTAATAAAGCAAAATTTCAAAAGATTTGTGCACGGTGAAGCCGTCGCAACATAAAATCGTAGCTCTTCGTAGAGACATTTTGTTGAGTTTCCAGACCATATCTCGATTGACCATGATTAGAAGAATAAAGTTTTATTTGAACAACTCTATTCAGTTACATATGTTAACTGTTCTACCAATAGGCTCTGTAGAGTGAGCGCGAATCAGTGCTGAGCACTTACTGTATATTCGACTGGATTAGTATCATGAACTTCGTACATGCAGTAAAACTGTACTACGACTTTTTTTCAATTTATATAATTCACCCTTGCTTTTTAGTGCAGAGTTTCTTTGAAACTGTGCACTATTGTGATGAGTGGCGAAAATTCACATCTGTCATACATCAGATATCATAGAGTAAACTTTCCGGGGGGTGTATACGATTTATCGTCGTGGTGATTTATTCTACTTAGTCAGTGCTTTGAAGGTTATTTAGGCAATTTCAGTTGTCTTATTTAAATACTTATTTTGTCCTTTTGCCAAGTTCACAAAAATTTCCAGGAATTGTTGTTATTGCAAATTTTTGTCAATTTTATAACATTCGCTTCTCCGTGTTGTGTGAAAGATCTTTTCCCCGGAACACCCATTTTTTCTTTAGCAGCGCAAATGCGCATGTGCTATCAAGCTGTAGATCACGATGGCGTGACGAATGACGATGCTAGGAAGGAGCGACACTGCCGAACAGTGTTGTTTTCAAATTATAAACATTTTTATAGACGTGAATATCGAGTAAATCTTTGAGAATCTACGCAATATATAAATTGAAGTTATGACTTATGCATTATGGGCATTCAATTAAGTACCGATATTATTTTGACGGTATATTCAATTTCAATATACAAAGCTAGGAAGCAGCGAGACAGTGTTGTTTTGTCTTTTGAAATGTATGAACATTTCAGGCATGAATATTGAGAAAATCTTTGAGATTCTACGCAATATATAAATTGATGTTTTGCATTACGGGCATTCAATTAAGTGCCGACGGTATATTCATTATACAGTGCTAGGAAGCAGCGAGACCGTGTTTTCAAATGTATAAACATTTCAGGCATAAATATTGAGAAAATCTTTGTTTACGTGTATAGCACAACGGTGCAAACTCGTGTTCAGTGCAACGAAAACTCTACCAGATCTTACGAGAATCTATCTGTATCAAAGCTTGTCAAAACTGCTATATAAACACTGCAATAACTGTGAAACTATTGAAATCTAAAGTTACATTATTGAATACATGCGAAAAGCTGAAAATGACTCATGAAACAACAACGTGACCTTCGAAATATATCAAAGGTCAATGAGACTTGTTATTGTGAACACGTCATAATTAGATTAAAATGCAATCTCGTTACGAGATTGATTAAAATGCGGAAAGCGGATGCGGATTCACGGAACGGATATGGGGATAAAATGCGGAACGGTTATGGATGAAATGCGTCATTTTAATGAGTTTTTCGCCTCTTATTTACGTTTCTGTGTTTTAGATTTATGTTACTTTTTTGTAATGGAATACAACGTAGTGCTTATTATTCATAACATATCTTATACAGCTATTTTCTCAAGTCGTCACTGAGACAATAGCCAAAGTGTACATTATGGGCGCTAAAAGGATGGTGGGAATAATCACAGATTTAAATAAGTCACCTAGGTTGCAGGCGACCCTATATAGTGTCGTTTTCAATTGGAAACTTTACAACATTATAACAGAAATTATGCCTTGTGACTAATATTATATGAGGAAATAAATAATATTACATAACTCTCGTCATTCTTTAATCTTAAAGTATTAGATTTAAACCAGATCTTAGCATTTTTACTGTTGTAACAGTCACGCGCGCTAATACTGTACGTCATATCGACATGTGATTAAAGCTATATACCACGCTTGAAAAACTATTCAATTAATAAGCATGTCAATATAGCGTTCGTCTTTGAAACTCTGCACTATCCTTGGATCCCTAGTTTCTCTTTCTCTCGAAGTTTGCTAAAAGGGCATCGTCACGACAATCTATAAATTTCTTGTCATAATAACAATCGAGCATTGCTGCTTTAATTACTTCAGTTGTAAGCTGTTAACTGTCCCTTCCTTCCTCCACAGGCTCTTATAGATGTTTTGTGTGAGGGCATAATACGGCTATGGCACGGCCTGCCACATGCCGGCGTGTCCGCGCAAGCAGAGGCAGCCAGGGGGGGGGGCATTGGGGCAAGTGACCCCCCACTTTTTGTGCAAGGAGAAAATGTGCCCTTTTTGTGGAATAAAAATGCCCTTTTTTCAGCAATTAAAGAGGAATTATAAGAGACCCTTTGTTATCAAAAACGACCAGATACTTTAATGAAATTGCATTAATTAATAAAAAGTGTTCTCTTTAAATTTGTGGTCAACGTGTTCATGTTCAGTTTAGGACGCAGAGCTGTTAGAGTCCGAGGCTGTATATTGCATGCGTCCAAACCTCTAGACTTTCTAAGCGCACATACGGACTGACATATTTAGAATGTTTGCCGACTCGATCAAGTGCCCTTTCTGGTCAGTGCCCCCTCACTTTCGACGGGCTTCCGCAGTTCCGCGGCCTCTGCGCGCAAGTAAATTCAGCCAACTCGTGACGAGTAGTGACTGGGGGCGAGGCAACAATGCCGGGTGTATCTCGCCAATCTTCACACATTTTATAAGTGTCCATTTACACGATACCACTTGTTGTATACGATTCTTATCCTGGCGTATGCAATCGAATACATGCATGTAAAAATGTCACATTTAAAATTCCGCCCAAAACTGATGAACAAGACTAGAGGTGTCGCAGTCGTTTTCATACGTTAGAATCCTGTGAATGGGCCTTTATATCATAGAGATTATAAATAACACTAGAGGAGGCATCGAGTTTAAAAATTGGGAACGCAGCTAATGGGGGGCAAATTCAAGTCCCGGATATAAAATCGTACTCTCATTGGCTGATTTGAAACTCGTCACCAATGGGAACACGAATACACATCCGGGACTTGAATTTGCCCCCCAATAGTCGCGTTCCCTTTTTTTTACTGAATTAAGATTACAATGCCTCCTCTAGTGTTATTTATAATCTCTATGCTTTATATGACAACAGCGAAAATTTAAGGAAGTTTCGCATGAGATTGATGATGAGACACTTCAATAGAATCACTTATGTGCAACCATCCATATTTAACGGCAATTTTTCTCGCGAAGAATTTCGCCCTCGTGGAGTCCGGCCTTTGACCGGTTCCAGCCCCTCCCAGACAGTCGTAAAAAATAACACGAGGTATGACACAAATATAATCTTTATTAAAGAAAACCAAAAATATGGTTAAAACGCACTCGTAGAGTACATAAGATAACATACAAAATAACGTATGATTAAAAAAGCCCGACAAAAACAGGCCAAAATTACAAAATAAATCAAAGGCCATTAAACCTGCGATGGACAAAGATTATTTTTCAATAATTGAATAATTCAATATTAATTTGAATAGAATCAAATACAGAAATAATAAATATAGAACAAGAACAATAAACCCATGCAGGCTGGAATACTTGTGGCTGTGTGTAAATAAATGACAAATGTAAATGTTCTTTGTTTTTTAACTGTTTTACTTTTATAACATGCGAAGCCATTTTGAAAAAAAAACTGCATTGTGGTCTATCAGCCATACTCGCTGGAAAAATAAGTGGAAAGCTCTGACTAAAGAATTGGTATTTTCACTATATGAGCAGATTTAACTTTATTTTCTCCAGACTCCAACATGCACCGATGGCGATATTTTGAAAATGATTGATCAGACGATATAAAATTTCCAGCTATCTGTCAAGTGCTAACAGCCATGATCTATATCTACTATTTCCATAAAAAACAATACCCCAGAAGTTGAAAAAAAGGAGTGTTATCAAATGTACAAATGAATGTACTGTATATCACGTGATGTACAGAAATGTTTAGAACATGAATGAAGCTGACAATAAATTACAAAATTGATGCTGTATGAAGGTTGTCTCGGTAAACACCACCTATATTCTTACTTCTAGGGTATTGTCTAATTAAAGCCACTTTAAGGGCCAATCATATACTTGCTGTCATACATGTGTTTGATTACGTTGTAGAGGTATCACCTATAAAACTGAATGAACAGGCATTTTCGGAATTAAGCTCTATTTTCATTAACTAACATTTACCACTCTAGGGTAACTCGGAAATTGCTTTTTCTATGAAATTGTTTTCCTGAAATCTCCTAAACTCGCAGATAATCCAAATGTACCGCGCACGGTAATCAAACACATGTATGGCAAAAGATCATCTCGTATGGAAAGAGGGATTTCATATACGAGGGATTTCGTCATTTTCTTTTTACGATAGATCTGCTAAAGAATTTGTTAGCAGTCGAAAATATCGAAAATTAAGATTGAAATTAGAGTTGGGAACACTTCAATTTCCCTAATTCGAGATGAAGGTGTAACGAAGACGCTCTCCCTCTATGAAAAATCTCTTTCCAACAAAAACAAGAGACATTCAGCTTAAAATTCGCGCAAAGAAACAGCAAATGGCAGAAGTCATACAATTACGTCTTACGACACCAGATCAGCATGAAAATATGACGTATGAGATTCATACCGCTGGTCTACTTCTGTCGTATGCCGGCTCAGTCGAAAGTTAAGCTGACTATTACTCGAACAACGAAATAATGACGTCATGTAAAGCTCCATTCAGCTTTGTTTTGGGATGTACTTTGGGAATATCTTGAATTTGATATTTCACGAAAATCAGGTTGTGCTGCGTTTCTTTTTTTTGTCCTATTTTCAGTAGAATTACATGACATCATTATTTTGCTTTTGAGGTGTTTATGCGAGAAAAATAGTGCTTATGTGGACAGACGGTAAAGCAATACGACGGTTTTCTTGTTACATAGAATTACTGCAAAAATTTTGGATTTTATTTTTCTGCGATTTATGAATTGCGATGTCAAAGTTTATTTCCACAGTACAGAAAATAACAATGCAATGTTTGGTATGAAATGGTACAGTATATCTGCCAAAACATATTTTTCTCACATAAACAACCTGATGAACTCGAAGCTACTGTTGATACAAACATTTGCATGCACGTTTAATATTTGAAGAACAGACAAAAAAAACATGATACAACAATACGAGAGACGCTATCTTGGAAGCAAAACTTTAAGTTTTGCCATGTTCCTGCAGAGGAACTTTACAAAATCAATCAAGGATTGACCTAATCACGTGTATCAAATAGCGTCTCCATGACAACACAACATAATTTTCTATAAGAACCCAAATTGATAACAACTTCACCCGGCAGGGATTAAAACAACGTAATTATGAAACCTTAATTATGATAATCAATTTTTCTCCCCCTCCGCCACCAGATGAAGTCCAATAAAAACCGTTAATCACTAACTTACAATCGAAATTTTAAATTAAGTAAAAACAATTCAAACAATCACATTAATTTAACCCAGTAGCCTCGAAGGACAATAACACATACATATTGCTTATACGCAATGAAAAGGAGAAAATTCGCAACAAATACAAACAATGAAAGTGCGAAATTCGCAACAAATAGAAAAAAAAATGAATAATGAAGGACATGACCAAAAGGCATTTTAAATTAAACAGAACTCGTCAAACACTTCGAAATCATTACCCTTTAACCCCTTAAAAACCCCAGGAAAAACCTGTTTACATGCACGAAGGATAACCTGCTTGCTTGTTTGCTGTGCTGGCTTCATGGCTTGTTGAGGCGACTGATTGTTTTGTTGATGAGCTTTCATCTTCCTCATCAACATCACTATAAAATGAAAATACAATGTGATCAAAACGATTTCGCTTAATAGATCTTACATTGTCTGATCAATTAGATATTTCCTAGGATATTGCCTGAGAATGGGCGGCTTTTCAAATAATATTTACGACGTGTACTGGTCAGATAACTTGTAACAACATTTACGTGAACAATTAATGTAAAATGATAAAATGTCGTTTTCACTATATATGGGCATGCAAGTCTATAGTTATTATAAAAAGGTACAACATTGGGCAAACTGTTATTAACTCTGCATCACTGCCAAATTCCTAACTGTATTTCAGTGCATAATGATGCTGATGATGTATTTCAGTGCATAATGATGCTCTGATGATGTATTTCAGTGCATAATAATGCTGCTGATCCGGGCTTATGCATCGAAATCTTTGCGAAATAAAATGGTTGTGTTGTCCACAAAAGTACAATATTTTTCGCCTTAAAACCCTACAACGAGGTGAATTTTGGTTCCTATTGTTTTCCTACATTTCTATATATTGCTAAATCCCAGTATTTTCAAATAATAATTTTGCCAACTAAAAAAATACATCACTTTTATTGTACTCCGGTCTAGAATTTTGGACATTCTGTTGTTTACTAATAACCAAGTCTATTGTCATTGTACGGGCATGTTGGGACAAGTTTCTCCAAAATAAATATAGTTAATCCGATTTTCTGCCTCCCCTAATCCATTGAATACAAATGAGCAAATTAATACTGACAAATATATTGGGTTTTGAACAAACACAAATAGAGCAAAATTCATAAATCAATTAAGCTACGTTTACACAATGAAATTTTTCCGGTCGACTTTTGGTCTTCTCTAATGGTATTTGAAAAATAAATGGCATGGTCGTCATCTCACTTAATTAAAAAAAAAATCACATTCACAAACGATAACATTCTGCACAAGTCACAAAGGAGATATGATCTATTAGTACGTGATTGTGGGAGAATTGTATACTATAATTGTATAAAATTCAGAAAAATTCCATTGTATCGCTGGCCACCAAAAAACAATAAAACAAAAAAATAAGCATTAAAACAAAATTACCTTCTGAATTTACTTTCCAAAGCCAACTTAATTGTGACAAGAAGGTCATGCACTTCCTTACTTGCGGTCTGTACGAAACAGAAAAAACACGAAGTGTTAAAAATGTTGAACACTTTATGTAGGCGTGACATGGAAAAATCTATAAATGTTGAAGGATTTTCTAGATGAAAATTTCGAGTGTAAATTTGATATACAGTACATTTTTTACATCTAACCAGGAGCAGCTACGAAAAATGCAACTATATATAGACTCTCTGTCAGGAATCGAACCTGCGAACCCTCTAACACAAGAAATTTCCATCTAGAAAATCATTCAACATTTATAGTTCAATAGAGCTCAATGCCCAAAAAATCCTGATATTTACACAAAAATCTATCAAACTTACGGTGATTGTGTACTCCTCTTGAGGTACCTTCTTCACTCTCTTACGATTATAACCTTTTTGCTTCGAAGCTAAAAACAAAATATATAACAAAATAATAAACAAAAACAGAAAAGAAACAATGAAAACATTACAACAAAAGGATCACTACACACAATTTGCCGTAAACCACCATTTAAATACAATGGTATTATTATGGTATGCGTTTGTCAATTTAACGATAATTGTTTTAGTAGCCTACAACAAAAACAAATTAAATCTACAGGTAACTTTCATCTAACCGGGAGCAGTTGCGAAAAGCACAACCTCGGACAGGAATCGCGATTCCAGTCCTTCGCGATTCCAGTCCTTCGCGATTCCAGTCCTTCGCGATTCCAGTGCGCGTAGTGCTCTGAACAGCATGCAGGGCCACAATTATTGCATTTTTCGTGGCTGCTCCCCATCAGGTCTATTGTCTAAAATATACTATATAATATTCGCTAAGAATTTCGATAAAGGTAACATTCTGTTCTATCGTTCAATCTATCCCCCAAACATATTGAAAATCTAAGTATATATTTCGACAGTCCCCCTCCCCCTAAATATATTGTCATTACACGATACCTCTTTTGTTATTGCTGCTCGAAGCAATCGACCTCTCCAGGTTTAATTCATCCGAGCGACGGTCTCTTCCTGGACATGCGCAAACTCGAATCTCGACTACACATCGACCAAGAATGCTACCACTGAAAAAAGAGAATAATAATCAAATACAGTTGCCCAACATTTATAGTAATAATGCATACAGAATATATAGGCTACAGAGTAGTTTTCTTTACTAACCCGATGATCATAACCCATGCATATTACCCACAGTGGTTAGAATTATCAGAAGTGGTTAAAATTTTGTTCAAAATTCAAAATGCCCATCAATTGGTATAGGTACTTTTTGTACAAAATGTGGAAGGAATTATCGCATAATAAGACATCATGCCAATGATAAAGTATCTAGATTTACGAACGAGAACACAATTGCTTAACCTTAGATAGCTTGCCGACGACGTTATAGGTGAAGTGCGATGAAAGGCCCTGTAATAAACTTTGGTGAATATTCGAAATAAAAAAATTGCCTATTAAAATGAGACGAAATCAATGTTTATTCAAGTTTTGCAACGATCTATCTCGACATTGAGTGGTCTTCTCCATATATTGCGAAAACCGAATTCAGTGATTGCAAAATTGTATCGTTAAGTTCCAACTGAAATAACCGATAATTGCGATATTGTATTCGCACACGCATTGATTTCATTTAATCTCTTACGTTTCGGCGTCTTCCAATGTGAAGATAATTTCAATTGGTTTTCTTCCATGACCAGAAGCACAGGAACTGAAACACTTGAATGCAAACATCTCCGTGACGTAGTTTGTACCAGCTACAAAGACAACAATAAAAGACAACGATTGAGAATTTAATATTGGACTCAAACAATGAAAAGCCTATACAAACATTGCGACTCTCTTTTAGACAACAAATGGCTAAAATAATAACCAGACGGAAAAAACCCCGTTCGTTTGCATCATAATTTTATTAAATAATTACATATATATGCAGTTACTACATTTCAATTAATTATTTCACAAAGCAAATGTATACAGTATACTGTACAGCGCGAAGAGGACCATGCCAAATTTTGGTATAGTATTACCGTACAATGTGCGTTAGATTAGAATGGTGCATGGGATTAGAAAATAACGACAACATGTTTTCATATTCGCAAGCGAGCAGAATGTAATAATTCGGTCGTTCATGGATATATCGTACAATCAGCCAAAATATTCAGAAAATATTCTGTGCTTAGCACAGAGAACAGTGGGATTTCAAAACAATGAAAACACAATGGAACATTCTGATTCTGACTTGATTGTGACTGGTGTCATGACTATTGTTACGGAAGTGTTATGCAAAGGTTCATTTATCAAGTCATTTGATAAGTTATTTGAAAATTTCATCCAATCGCCAATCACGTTTGGTTTTGGTTCGATTGACATAAAGAGACAAAAGGTGACCAGAAATGATCAAATACAGGAAGTTGCGGGTAGTCAGTCAAATTCTCAAATGAATAACGTATAGATTAAGGGTGTTTTTTATAGCACAAACGTCGGACAAACAAACTGAAATTCACTTTCAAATTAATGCAAATTAACTATATTCTATTGTTAACCCCGCAAGAATTGTGGGAATATTCAGACGAACTGCACTCGTGACGTCAATTGAATACATGCTAAAAGATTGGTAAATATTTTAGGAGCACTTCCATTGTCACGATTGTAACAGAAAAAGACAGCTGCGAAAAATATAGCAGAACTTGGACGTCGGGAAGGCTCGAAAATTCTGCTTGTACTTTTCATGTAGTTGTATTTCTCTCAATCCGCAGCTGTCTTGTTGTTATTGAGGCTACCTACGCTGGCACACACCGTTCGAGATTATATCACAGAAAAATAATGCTGAGAATCTGATACAAGCTGGTTTTTTAGCAATGACGTTTTGAGAGTTTAAGAGAACAAACTTCTGTATGTGTTGTCATCGGCGAATTGAGTGCAGGTTCAGTGAAGCATGTATGTCTCTTCTGAGCGAGATTGCAGTTTATGTTCAAATAAGGTATAATACCAAGCTGTGCTGTTCACATTACTGTAGCTACACACGTAAAAATCTCACAACTTGTCAACAAGATGTGTTCGCAACAGGTTTGTAGCAAGCTTGTCAACAAGTTGTAACAATGCTGTTATTTTATCAAGTTGCTACAAGGTTGTCAACTCACAACTTGTTGACAAATTGTTGAATTGCAGGGCGATAACAAGTTGTTGGAACAACTTGCAACAAGTCTGTTGAGCTCAACAACCTTGTAGCAAGTTGTCGACAAGCCGTTGAAAACTTGTCAACAAGCTGGGAACAAGCAGTGCGAACACATCCTGTTGACAAGTTGTTGGAACAGCATTGCTACAAGTCTGCTGCAGCTTTGTTACAACTTGTGCGTTTTTACGTGTGTACCTGTACATATGACTGCACACTTGGTCATTGCACGTGATAACCCAAATATCAACATCTTCTACTTTTAGTCAAAATTAAATGTCAACTAAGTTTTCATAATTACGACATATGAATCATGAACCTTGATCTGTTTAGGGTTCCCAAAGTCAGATAACAAATAACGACATTAAGCGCTGCAGGTGGGTCAGGACCAAATTATCAACATAGGTGATTGACTGTTTTCATTGGCTAGAGATGTTTTTTGCGTATGAATAGTTTGTAAAACAAGCAATGCATATAAAGACACTAACCTTGTGGTCCACTGTAAGGCACCAGTACAGAGTGTCTTCCAGTCTGAGGACATTCAAGATACAGTGCATTCGCATTGTTGCTGCGGATGAAGAAATTGTTGCGCATTGGAGAATCTAAAGTAACACAAGCAAGATTTTGTCAAGCAAACAGGACAATATGCAAACTAATGACTATAAGAGTTGCTTGTAAGCGCATACACCACGCGCATTGCCTCGCATCCTCGACTCTATTCATTCATTTTCTTCTAATTTTCGGTCTGTTTTCCAACAAATAACATGTCGTTATGCGTGCATCATGAATAGTGCACCCGAGTAGCCCAGGTAATGGTCTTTCTTGCATAAATCGTGTCTAAAGTTTCAATTCTTAATGCCAACTATGAAGAAGCACCATAGCAGCCCAAAACTACTTGTAGAATGCACCAAATGTCAATTTATATTAAGCTCGCCCAATTCCTATGAGATTTGTCGCGCGCCGCAAGCACTCAATGAAAAACATTGTTCATATATACAGATTAAACCTAATATAGATTGTTCATACATACAGATTATAGGTATAATCTATATATATGAACAATGCTTTTCATCGAGTGCTTGTGGCGCGCGACAAATTCCATAGGAATGGGGCGAGCTTAATATAATTTGACTTTTGGTGCAATCTACAAGCCGTTTTGGGCTGCTATGGAAGCACACGAAAACAAGCAACATCTCGTATAACTCCCTGTGAAGGAACTGTAGTGTATATCACTGTTTATCACTATCTTGTGAAGGGCTGTGGGGAACGGGGTCACCCTTAACCTTTTTGTACCGTAACCCACCTTCGTTATTGTTTTCGGCATGATTTGCACACATCTTGACAATATCATGCAAATTACTCGATCCTTTAAACATGGCCACAGCTCTGATGTACGCAGTATTCATTGATTTACCATTCGTTTTAAACTGGAATGGACAGTAGGATCCGATGTTTGTATACAATTTTGATGTTTTGGTCGAGTACGTCCATGTTGCGGACTTTGGAGCTGATTCTGTGGGTGGACCAAATGAAATTTCGAAACCGTATTCACCAGTGAATTGTTTTGAGGTAGGAACAGTGGGAAGTTGTGCTCGAGGGAAGTAACCGTTTGTGTTCATGGGGAACGATGAGCTCACTTGGTTATCGCGGTATGGAGAGTGCTGTAAACAAATTTTTCAGATATATCGTTTAGTGGTCTAACCGTTAATGCTAGCTCGGGGCACAATTGTATCAAAGGGTATGCAAGTAAAAGGTTGCCTGATTAGGCATGTACATTAAATAACTGACAGGTAGATTTGCCAGAAAAAGCTGGCCATTCCAAAATATTAAAATATTATTAGTAGTAAAATATTAAATATATTGCATATCAATTTACTGGTTAATTTCCAAATGTAAAAATACAAGTGAAATAAGATCATCATAAGGTTAGGTGGAAAACGCGGACATGCGGAAACTCTTTCGTGACTCATTTGTTTCTATTATTACTGTATTTGCATGGGCCGGAGGTTGGTAAAATGCTATTCATGACAATTTTACGTAGTAAGATGGGAAAGAATAAAAACAAAATCAAAAGCAATTTCTTTCCGCTTTATTTTCGCAAGCAATAAAGGAAATTCATGGTAGAAGTGGGGGCAGGGTAAAACCATCGCCTTGTCCCAATGGGAATACTTGACTCTATAGGGTCATGGTATTATTGTTCTATTGTGTTTGCCCCACTTGGCAAGATGAGTCGCAAACCACGAGAAGGCGTATAGGCTTAACTCGAATATTGTGTCTAAATTATCTGTTTACGCTGCTTCAGTTCGAGTTATACAAAAGTCAAGATATTACATCATATCGTATTTTTTAAGGCAAAACTTGAACAAAGTTTTAGAATTATTAATAATTCATGATAAAATACAAAAGAACTATTGTTTAAATTAACAGCATTGTCTTGTTAAGGTGATTCAAAACATTAGTGGAGTTTTCACCTTGCATGGGATGGGAGTTATGTTTTCAAATTGAGTTTTCGAAACAAGCACACAAAGAAAAAACAAAGATAATCCTATAGGTATTATCCTACGGACATAATCCTATATAGTTATTGGTGAAATCACTTCCTGGACAGGTATTGCGTGGTATTTGTATACAAAACAACACAATGCCATAATTCCTGCTGGATTCAAATTTTCGTTAATTGTATACTTGTGAGGTAAAACACGCATAAATATAAATTAGCGGACATGGTGCGAGGAGAAATAAGCATGTGTCTTCGGAAACACGAATGATCTTCACCATGACACGAGTTGATCAATCTGCCCTGATGCAGTAAAGATAAGTTGCACAAAGTATAGCGACATAAACTGCAACGCAGATTCAAGACAAATATTGTCCACGAGAGCGACAAGATATTTTGCAAGACATGACAATATTGAAGTTGCGTCATTCACTGAAATAAATGAAACAACACGTGCAAACGTTTCCTTGTCTATTTATAAGACGCCTCTATAACGTAATCAGGATGTATATGATATACATAATAAAGGAAATAATAACAAATTCTATACTCATTCTAAAAACTGCTTTTGTGATGCAATACAAATTTTGAAAGACTCTGAAAGATGACACCCGTTTTTATAGTTTCTCATAATGAAACTATATACTGAAACTGTAAAACATGCATTGTAAAAACACATATACATCTTATTGACTTATAGATTGCCACCAAATATAGATTCCGTGTATGACCAACCAGTATTTATCGTTGTTTAATAATTCATAATATAATTGAATAAACCTCTTTCGACTTTCAAAATAGACATTTCGCACTGGATTTCACATATTTTACAAAAATGTTCTTGCGTATATGTCCTTAACTTAATCAGCTCTAAAACATTGATCAATTGAACTGTAACATAACCATTTGAAGTATGCATTCACTCGTTCTTTTTTTACGTTAGGTATACGTTTTCCTCTCAGCTCACCTGATAAGGTCTGGAACAGCTGCTATCACTGGAGGTTACAGCAGTAATTTGATGGCGTGTATTCGACTGAATCCCTGATGTCAATACGGGTGGAAATGATAATGGTGATGAGGGCGTTGGTGGCAAGTATTGGTGAGGGTCGCAGCACTCCTAACATATAAATGATATAATTTATTCACCTGTTCAAAGAGGGATGTGATCGCATGTCATATAATCAAAACATAAATACTGTAAAATATGACATTAACAGGACAAGTAAATGAAATACAAGATTTGGAAACTGTAGTCATTCATATGTATATTTTTTCTGCGTTAATGCTTGCAGTATCAAGGTGGTCCTTCCTCATTACCCGTGTTTTATTCTTTCGCCCAATCCATCGATAGGTGGTGTCCAGGGGAGGGGGCAACCCCGTCCCTAATAATTTCTGAAAGCCTTTGAATGATAGCTGAACAACTGTATAACAAAACTGTACCTATCATTTTTCAACCATGAAAGAGCATTGGTAGATATACATTAGGCTATACATAATACATTGCATGAAATTTAAGGCTAAAAAGTTTAAAGAACTAAGATCTCCAGTTACAAAAGGTGGTCACACTGTATATGTTGGCAACCTAATTCTCCTCCCAACATTCCGCAAAGTGTCCGCCACTGGTGGTGTACAACTAAGGATTCTCAGGACAAAGAAATTTCCGCCGTGTTCAATGAAATTGGAATAGCAAACAGTAAAAATCCTTTTATTATATAAAATGTATTCATTATTGTCGCGATGACATAAGGTGTAAATCACCAATATAATCTATCAATGATTTGTTAGCAATAGTCATACTGGTTAACTGAGCGAAAATATAGCAGCTAGTAGCTACACAACGAAGTGGCGACGATAAGAACCCAGATTAAACTAAACTAATGCATAACGAATTTTTAAACTTGGTATACTCTTAATAATTGTTGCAGTACGTTTAACACAAGGCTGTTATCGAACAGGCAGTTCGAGAGTTTATAATTTTGAAAAGTGAAATTACTATCATGGTACAAAACCTGAAGCTTATAGTTAATGGATCACACCACTTTCACTTTTCTGTGTATTCAAAGTAAAATAATAAAGTGCTTATTAGACAGAAATTCACAATTACTCACGTCCATGTTGGCCTCCTGTTGACGCAGGAAATCTGAATCAAATTGAAAAATAGACATAGTAAGATATTTTAGTACACTATGTAGTTCTTGTTATGTTGAAACAGTTCTGTGCAACCTCAATGAAATTTACTCAAATTCTACTGAGCTGCTTCACGCTTGTGTTCACTCTTGGATGGTCACGCAATATAATGCTTAACGCGAGTGATAGCTATAAACATTAAACAAATCGAAATCGAAAATAAACGACGTCATTCATTGTTATTTGTAAGCCCACCTCCAGGAGCAATCTGTCAACAGTTCTTAAGACATCTGCTAAATATATTTTATTGCCTTGCCTCCTATTGTTCGCAGCTGCATTCTGGTAATGGTGCCAAGCTGAGATGACCTACAGTACTCTTGCAATCTCGAACTAAAGTTGACAATGGCTTTAAATTTTCAAACACATATCCGACTTTAATAAAGTCATAAATTCGACAACAATGAAAATCTCTCAGTTCAAAGTCCAATCTAAACTCAAAGAAATTTATCCTATGTGTGCACAAGTCTTAATATTTTTCAACCATGTGACAAACAAGGTCGTTATTCATCTTTAAATATAATTCATTTCTGTGGAATTCTCTGGAACTCTAACAACGGAAGCAATACGATATACGCTTTTTTTTTCAAATATAACCATTTTTATTGTCTGTGGTGACGTATAGCCTCTACTTCGTTCTTATGAAAACAGAAACAACCCTAAGATTTAATATATTCAAAGGAAAATAATGATTGAAGTGAAGGCTTAGTATGTTGAAGTTTCAAAAAAATAGGCTGTACTGTTTATTGTATACTTTCTGCAATGGCCTCATTTTCATGTGGTTGTTTCGTCATGTTTCGTGAAGAGTATAGGGTTAATTAAGGATAAGTTGGTGAATGGGCTCAAGAGAAACACGTGCGTCTGCAATGCTAAATAGGCAAACATGGAAACGAGTGCAGAAAAGGCGTTCCTGTGACCCCCAATTGTCAAACCCAGACTATACACAATGAAAATTCAGTCACCAACAACTATGACATCATCATTTGTACGCTTAGCGCATCTGTATTTTTCTTACCATCTTGAGACATGGCCATCCCAGAATTGCTTCCAAAGAAACTCCTAAAGAAAAGTTAAGAAGACAAGTGAATATAATGAAACAATTTTGATGAGCAAACGGTGATATTCGAATTTGTTTCTCAAGTTAGTGTTATAACATTCATATCATTCATTGCTTTTTAGCTTAGAGACTTTGTTTTGGGAGCATCAGGACGAAGATCATGACAGGTTCGAACGTAGCCAAGCCAGAGTTGCAAAAAGAGTTTTCAACCTTCCTCTGAATAAAATTTCAACTTTTCAAACCTTGCTCAGAATAACGTGAATTATGGCTTTTCAAATTGCCAATGTTAGGAAAATATTGTACAGCATTACTGTTTTCTCGTCAGTATTCTTCAAACTGATAATCATCTCGTAACGGTACAAACACAATAGTCACTAGAGCAACATCGGCATTCTGCCAACCTCAAGGCTCAACCTTCCTAGACAGTATATAATTTGTTTGTTTTGTGGTGTTAGTGTGAAGTAGGGTGTTCCACATTAAATCTTCCTCACTGACCTCACATATTGTAAACTATCCTCACGGGTGGTACCCGTATACCCACAGCGTTTTTGCAACTCTGAGCCAAGCTTGAAAATATAACTACAAAAGTCTACTGAAAAGCAAACGTTGATTGTTGTAACGTAACTTCGTTAAGAGATATATAGCTTTCGGCACTTGGAGAAATTTGTTAATTAAATGGGTATTTTGTACTTGTAGCCTGCTCGCAGCCCCCACCCGAAAATTTGAAACGGAAACTCGGACAAAACTCTGCATAACAATAGTCAAATTGAGAAAAAGAGGAATGCTTCGACATTTAGAGCGAAGGCTACTCGCGGGTAGTTGTATCCCAATATCAAACCGAAGCTTTGATTCTTATTATTGACACTACCTATACACTGGCACCGGCCGTTCAAGATATCGTTTCAAGAGGAATGTAATGCATGTGTTGTCTACTTTGTCTCACTCATCTCATTGACATTGTTTTCCATGCTATGATGCAATGGAGCCTATTGGGTTGTAAACAACGTTAAGATATTTTCCAGGGCCACACAGAGTGTTAAAATCAACTACTTAACTAAACAAAGGCAAAGGAAAAACCTATTTTTATGACGAATGTTTAATGTTTAAGCACCCTGTCAAGAGAATGGGAGTTGACGATAGCTGGCAATCACCAATTGTTATGCACTAGTCAATTGAAACCCCGGCCCCCGGGACAGGGCGGGGAATTAATGGGGGAATGGCCGTGGATTAACGCGGTTTTAATGCACTATTTCCCCCGGGGTACAGGATAAATAACAAGTCAATCTATTACTCCCGGGACAATAACCGGGACTTTAACGCGAGGCTGATATGAAAGTGGACTGGAACGAGTTTATCCTCGTGGCAACATGGCGGAATCTTCGAAATCAGAGAATTGTTTCCTCATAGTTTTTCTTTAAAAAAGAGAATATATTTTCACTTTTTATTTTTTCCTGATGATGACTGCAAGATACTCGAAACGTAGATTATTCAGTATCTTTTGATGCGGATCAAAGTTTAAGATCAAGAATTGCCTTCACATGTTGTGAACATTTTATTCTTCAACGATTTCCCATTATAATTTGCAAAGTGCCGGGGTCATAGGGGCGGTAACTTTAACAGTCAATATTCCCCCGGTAGCGGGGAAATTACCAAACTTTAACATTGTCAAAATGTTAATTTCCCCGCCCTATCCCGGGGGTCGGGGGTTTCAATTGACTAGTGCATTACTGGGAACATTTCAAGCTCTAGATTAACAACATAAAGGTTTGATAAGTGATGCAACTACCAATGACGTTTTCACTTAAATAAAATACGTGGTAGTGTTGGAAAGGCATTAAAAGCGGATTTCCATTCAGTGGAAAAAATCGCGAGATCGACTTTTTGCGACCACTTTCTTTTGAAATACAAGCAATCAAGCGCAACGGATGAGGTTGACTGAACACATGCATCTGAGAAGAAAGTGATCGCAAAAAGTCGATCGCGCGACTTTTTCCACTGAATGTAAATCCGCCTTAAGAACAGCTATCCAAGGTCGCGCGACTATCAGCTCTCATGCACTCTCATACTCGTTTGATCTGGGCTGAAGTCCATTGCTACATGACGTCAGATTATCTAACTGCAAGCTTGATGGGATGATTTAGGCAAGTTTGAACAAGAGTGGTGGCGGAGTCATTAGGGCAAGCGCTTTCACCTCTGAGAACGTGGGCTGGAGTGGCGTGATCGCATCAACGCAAATATGAAGGAACGTTCATATTGCAAATAGGATCATGGATTAGAAAACAACTCTACAAGTAATGGGATGACAAGTAAGATCAAAATAAAATACATGTATGTATTGTATTTCAGAAAAACATAAGCGAAAATAAACTAAATAAACTGAAATACATTTCAATAAACTGAAATAATTTTCAATGAACTGAAATACATTAGTTTCAGACATCACTTCAGAATCCCGATATTGATTTACAAGCAAAAGTTATTTTGATAAAAAAAATTTCCGTTTCAGATAATTGAACAGTGCAACCATGGTGAAACAACTACATCTCTAGAAAGCTTCCTTCCCGCTTTAAAAACAGATATCGTATTTACTTGTTTATTCTTTTAGTGTTATAGATGCGGCGCTTATTTGAGGGCGGCGCTTCGACCACGGCGCTCTTTATACAATATTTTATTTTGTAAGCGATAACTAGAAATATGATTTCTGTGTGTGTTGGTGTTATGTACTCAGGTGAATATGATGTTTGTGATGTTACTTTGACTGTGCATCCACACTGGGCAAGCTAAAAAGTTTGCCTGACCACGGTGGGAATCGAACCCGCGACCTTTGGGATACTAGTCCAAAATGCTCTACCAAAGCTACGAGGTCAAGTCGGTTCGAGTTGTTGATATTTCGGAACAGAGTCTAGTTCCTTCGATATCGAACTTAGTAATATTACAACAAAATATAACATAAAAACAATTTTTCAGACGGTGCTTCGAGTAAGTGCCTTGTTGTTGTGAGTAAGTGCGGCGCTTATAAATCGGGGGCGGGGCGGCGCTTAAACGAGTAAATACGGCAGTCGTCCTTCGTTGAAGGCATTGCGTAATTAGGGTAGTGGAGGACCAATGAATCGAATCTGAAAGTATGCGGAGTGTAAACCTCTGTCAAAGACTTCAACCAAAGTAAGTACAAGATTGCTGCACAAGTCTTTTATCATTCATCGCACAGAAGTGTTTGAACTTCATTGTGCAAACCAGCCATTATTGGTAATTAGTGGTATAAGTGGCATTAGACAACATTGAGCACAGGCACTGAAGCATGCACAGTAAAAGCATACGAACCTAGCTGTTCAGACTACAACCAACACAGTCCCACACAAAATTAACAGACAGCTACATTTTAAGTTCAGTATATATCAAAAATGTTTTATAGTTTCAAGAGCCAGCCAGTCAGCATAGACTAGCTACCGCAGGCCGCAGCTGACATGAATTGATATATTAAGTCATTCACGCTATTTCAACATATTCACGAGCGATTTTCAGGCAGGAAACGTGATCTTATGATGAAACAATATGCTAGGCTCTTATTTTCATCATAAGATTACTATTTCAACATGACCTACATAAATGCCTTGTGATGAAATTTGAACCATAGTCCAAACACAAATCATGAACCAATTCTCTACGTTAATTAAGTTAACCAATAAAACAACTATAAATTCAGTGAACAATAAGTTAGGTAAGATACTTTAATAGCCGAAGTAAACTTACGAGAATAATTCAACAGATTGTACCAGCAGTTCCTTGTGTGTCTTGTATTTATGTGTTTAGTTCTTGTCAGAAAATTTCGAGTGATCAAATTACGAGGTTGGACTTGAAGACAAAACAATCAAGTCCCACACATTCAGAGACACATTATTTTGGACGTTATTCATTCAATAATACATGTACCAAATATAAATCCATATATTCAACTCATATAAAAGTAAGTACAAATGAACAGATTCAAATAAAGTAGTATTTTAAATTTATTGCAACGATGTTGGGTCAATATGATGATGACGTGTATAAATTTTTTATAATGATTTACTGTGTGTTGTCAAAAGGAAGTGAGGGGCAAAGTTGCATTAGTACTTTGTCAGATACATGAAACAGAATTGTGTGTTCTTTACTGTAACTTCAATTCCAGAATTAAAATTGCATTGTCATGAACAAATCATCTATCATGCATATATATTGAGACAATATACGGCGAAATTCCAAACCTCAGAGATAACTTAGAAATTATATTAATTTTTAAAAAAAAATTAAATTCACGATTCTTATTTTTCCATGGCAGCGCCTGATCCGCCTCTTTGGGCTTTCCATGACTAAAACTGATTTTCCAGGATATCCAAACCTGGATATTGAAATAGTCAAATTCCATGACTTTCCAGGTTTTCCATGACCCGGACGATGTTATAAATTCATGAGATTTATTCCTACTGCATGTTTTCGTTTCAAATATTGCTATGGTTGTTTCATCCTTTCTCTCTCGTTCTCTCAAACAATTTATCCCTAACTTCTAATTCTCCCTCTTATTTATACTGTCTTGTTGTTCCAACTATATAGGAACTTTTTGGCAGAGGAAGGTCAACTCGTGACGCACAATAATTATGCAAAAAACTTCCTCGCTTGGTTGACCACAAATCAACCTAGAAAACGTCCCTCACATTCGTAAATTCCATCTTCCTCTTTTCTTTTAAGTATTCAATTGTTCCAGTTTACTTATATATTTCATGATTACACCATTATTAACATGTATGAATTTATACTGTAAGATATTTAAAATAAATGTAATTGTATCTTCAACACTCCATGCAAATTACCTTCCAGCGTCATTTGGGTCAATATTGTTGAAAAACATTTGTTCTTGTGGTAACATATTTGAAGGGTCAGGTCTGCTTTCCATTGAGTACCTGTTAAAAAAAGGAAGGTTATCTGAGCTAAGGGGCCATCTCAAAATTTAGAACTTTTCCCTGCACAAAATGACAGACCATGCGACTTAAGTTTTAACAAAGATTTCTCAAAATGTCTTGCCGGACTGTACAAACGCAAAAGTTGACCAATAAGGATTTTACAAGTGCACATTTCTTCTTTGCCCCCTCCCCAGTGGTGCCTAAATTACTTTGATTTTTTGTACTCGAGTAAAAGTAGAAGTAATTAACAATAAAACGACTTGAGTAAGAGTAAAAAGTACTGGAAGCAAAACGTACTTAAGTAAAAAGTACAAAGCATCCTTAAAAAATACTTGAAGTACAACGTAAAAGTACTATTGTCTGTAGCATGTAAAGGGGGGGGGACTTCTCCAATGGATTGACATACAAAAGACACAAAACAGCACACGCAGTTATATGCGTGCACCGAATATACAATATTTCACGGCATGGTTTACTTTCCAGACCAGAAGATATAAGAAATCCATTAAAAAAATAATGCTTATAAGTAAGCCACAAACGAGAGATCCCAAACGCATGTAGAGATCCTATTACCAATCCAAAAATTAAAATAAATCAGAAATTTACTTTAAGTTAGAAAGTAACGAAATACTTCGCCACAAAATGAAAATAACGAAGTAAAACGTTACTTCTTAAAACGACTTCGTTCCAAGCAAAAGTACTCCAGAAAAAGTTTACTTTGTTACATGCTGACTTCTCAAAAATTGTACTTAAGACAGTTAAGTACAGTAACGAAGTACATTTACTTCGTTACTTGACACCACTGCGGCCCTCCCCCATTTCGCAGGTTATTTGTATAGGGGGAAATATTATATCTCAAATTCAAATTGTCCAATCAGGAAGCTTAGTTTGTGCCACGTGAGCATGAAATTAATCGCGATATCACGCCTTACGTCATCAATTAGCGATCCTGCGTTCCTTTTGACAATGTTCCACCCCATGTTCCCCGGGGAACATGGGGTGGAACATTATTCGCGTAGATCACGCGGGACAACACGCATGACAACAAGATGGCCGACAAAACATATAAAATAGTATTAATGAGTGATGAATAATTCAATTTTAAACCTAAAACCTGGGGCTTTTTCAAATCTAAGACCTGGGGCCTTGTCATTAATATTCCAAACGATATGTGATTCGAAAGAAAAGCGACGATACTTGCGTTAATCCAAAAATAAAACGTCGTATTCACGAAGGTATGTGTCAAGTTTTTAATTCTCAACTTGGAGGCTTTTAATTTTCGGTATAATATATCATTTATAGACCCTCCGCTCGGGGGATTCGGCGAAATATTACCCTCAGTGATGATATACTGAGGGTAATATTTCGCCGAATCCCCCTCGGCCCTCGCTCCAGGTCTATAAATGATAAATGTCACAATCTTGAGATGGCCCCTAACTGTATCCAGCAGGGTAAGGCCACTCCAAATTAGACTTTAGTTTCCCTTCCTCCGCCCGCGTCTCCTAGAACTGGCCGCATGATTTGTCCATTATTGCGAAGTTGTTTCCATTATTTGACTTTTGTGACAAACAATTACGAAAAACCACAGTTTTCAAATAATCTATCGTTCCAGAAATACATATTTACGATACAACACGTAAAAATCGAAATAAAATTCTTGAAACTTTTATCAAAGAGGACAAAGAGCGTGAATTTTTTTCTATTTTCACTACGAACTGCTGAGCTACACACTCTCGTTACAAGTTTTGATTTTTGAACGTCAAAACCGATAAGGTTAATGTCCTGGCTTTCATTTCTGCATAAAAAAAACTCTAAAACATTGCGTAGAAACGTGGCTGAATGGATATTTAAAACCCGTATCTATTTCATGAAATAATGGGCCGTGTTTCAACTTTCAGACACCATAATGGATAATGGAAATGGACCGCCCGCCCGCGTGTAATTTGAAATAAGGGCTGGACGGGAAACTAAAGTCTAATTTGGAGTGGCCTAAGGCGGTAATCTTACAAAAAAACAAAACACCAAAAACTGTGAAGTTTCACATGTATAATCTTTCAGCATAAAATTAAAATTGCTTCGCGTTGTGGGTTTATACGTTCACATTTGTGAGATTTTTAACCCAGTCTTTAGTCTCTAGTATTTTTACTCAGCATTTCAAAATATTTCAGCAGTTTAGCTGGCTGACTACACGGATAAAAATTGATCAGGTTGTTCGGCGTTGTTCAAACAGGAGTGAACAATGTTGTGCTGCACCCCGTGAACAATATTGTTAACAAGTTGTTCAACCATCAGTACTAGCTGTTGCAAGTTATTAACATGATTGTCAACAAGTTGCAACAATGTTGATGGTTCAACAACTTGTTAACAATATTGTTCACGGGGTGCAGCACAACATTGTTCGCTCCTGTTTTGAACAACTTGCATCAACATGATGATTTTTACGCGTGTACATGATTTTCATGTTATCGTGGCAACCACAATGTTTACAATTATTAAATACTTCATGTTGATACAATGTTTTGGAATTACAGTGTTCTGTCGGAAAAAAAGGGCAAGGGGTTGCATATATCATGCATGTATTTCTAGTTACGTCATCAACATGTGAAAACAACGAGTGACTGGATGGCAGTTTCTATACTATTAACAACTATTTAAATGAATACAGTATGAACAAATGGAGTTTGATGCCTAATGTGTGGGTGTTACATTTATTGACTCAGCTGACTCATCACAACAAATAACTGGAAATAATTTCAACTATCTCTTACAGGTAACCAAATACCGGTACTAACAAAAGTTCTGCTACAACATCAGGAGGTATTGTAACAGCGACAAGGAAAAATGAAAATAGCAAAATTCAAAAAAATGAAATATGAAAACAATAAAGCTCTATAGCTAATGCGACATACTTTCCGGGAAGAGTGTATTGTGACAGAGACAAGGAAAAAATGAAAATAGTAAAATTCCAAAAATCAACATTAGGGCCATTTATACGGGACAAAATAAGTCGCGACTTACATAAGACGCGACTTAAATAAGCGGAGTTATCGCATAAATGGTTCTCTACGGCTTTGGTCTTATTTATTTGCTATAGCTATGATGTTGTTTTGTTTGTTTTTGTTTTAATATGCAAGGCTAATAATTTTACGTTGTTTCAAGTTTCTGGCATGTGTAGTTAGACTTTTTGTCCAAAATTTCTTATTTAAGACGCGACTTAGATAAGAACAGCTAAAAGGCCTGTTCTTATGTAAGACGCGTCTTATCCAAGACGCGTCTTACATAAGAATTTTGTACCTTTTATACGACAAATTCGCGTCTTATTTAAGTCGCGTCTTATGTAAGTCGCGTCATATTTTGTTCCGTATAAATGGCCCTAATATGATAGCAATGTTTTCAAGCGGCAACATTGCAAGTGACATGCAAGTGACTCGATCACACTAACAGAGCATGACAGCATAGACTAGGCCACATAAAATAAATTCCTTGATTCTCATCACTACACTTTGAAAATGTCAAATAGGCAGAAGTTTTATATTTTATATTTATATAATTTATATATCAATAAATAAAAAACAATTCCTAACATTTAATATTTCTGTGATTTCCGAAGTGAAGTGTCACAAACAGAAATAAACATATTAAATTACCCATTTCTGTCATCTCCAATATATCTCCACAAAATAATGACTGAAGCCTTGAACTGAATGCAAAGTTCTTTTAAAATGTAATGAAATTTCTTTCAATTAAGGTTCTGTTTGTTTGAAATTAGCAGTGTACGTAAAATGACACTAAAACCCAATATAAAATATAAAAAACTTAACTGTCTTGAAATATTTTGTCGGGCAGTACATTTATATTCTACTGTACAATCTAATATAAAAAAATTTCACAAGGGTCTTAAAATACAGTCAGGCGGTGATGAGAATGAAGGAATTTATTTATGTGGCCTTTAAGTAGCAGTGTAGCACACAACAGTATTTTGGCTAACTTCGGAGTTTGTGAGAACATTCTCAATGCTCCCAGTGTGCTGATCGAATCTTAATTTCTCATTTGCATTGACAAACATTCCATTAATTGGATTGTTGCCTCCTTGCTATTAGAGCCTTTTATTAATAGTGCATTTTATAGTTCTTACTCTACCGTAAACCTCCAACTATAAGCCCTGGACTTATACAAGGAGGGGCTTAAATAGGGGGGGGGGGGCTTATACATGGACGATCTTTTGTGTTATAGTAATAAACAAGTCAGTCATACACAGTTAAATAAACATGTATTAGGCCAGATAAAAAAAATAGTTGGTTAGCGTCCTTAGCTTTTGCCAAAAAGTGGGCGGGCGGGCGCTTTTTTTTTAAATTTTTACTAATTTTTAACGCCTTGGTTTTACTCACTGTTAGGTCCGAAACTGGATTTTCTTGCGCAGTACAGATATTTTTTTATATATTTCAAAATATAATTCATACCGTCATTTTCGCACGCAATTTCGCAAATTATTAACACAATTGTCAACATAAATACTACATATATTAGAGCCCGTTGATCAATAAAAGTCGGGGGTTTTTTAAATAAAAAATAAAAAAAAATCCTGAGCGGGGCCTTTTTTGTGGGCGGGCGGGGACGCTAACCAACTATTTTTTTTTTATGTGGCCTTAATAACACGCTTTGATTCACATAGTCGGCTATAAAGACAATGACAATGTTTTTAAATATCGTTCTCTGCTATATTAAAAGACATCGTCAATGTTGAATAACGTAGTGGGCTACTGGGCTTATATTTGGGGGACTTATATTTGGGGAAAAACATATTTGGGGGCTTTATATTTGGGGGCTTATATTAGGGGGCTTATATTCGGGGGGCTTACAGTCGGAGGTTTACGGTATACTCTTTAATCTATGATCTGTTTGGTGCTGTAATCTTGTGCATACATTTCTATGTGTCAATTGCTCTGTTAATTGTAGAAGACATTTAGGGCTCTTTAAATAACCTAAGCCTTAGTTGGCTGGTTCAGATTAAACAAATATTTCACTTACAATGAAACCCAATGATAAAGAATAACATATTAAGTTACCGGTATTTTAAACCTTTATATGACTAAGTCCTTATCGATAAGAATTTGCTTAAAACATGCATGACTTATTGAATTTTCCTTCAGTGACAAAGTTTTGCCATATATGTTCCCTTATCCACTTGCTAGAGTATATAAGCTGCCGATCAAGCCGGAAATTTACAATCCACTGAATATATTTTGGGTAAACTATAACATATTAAGGCTCCATGGCATTGATCCCAGTACCTTGCAGGCAACCAACTTAGTGGCTAGTCCTGTAACAAACTAGTTACTCTGATAAATTCAACTAAAAAAAGTATTAGTGTTTTCTGTATTTATATACCCATAGAGGGTTTTTGTCCAGACAATACCTTCAAACTGAATATAACTGGAATGCTATACCGATAACTATAGATGAGGTTGCCCATGTTTGCCTACAGCCAAATCCGATCCTTTCACAAGACCAGTTCAGGGAGCAAGCATGCCATTTTACTGCACGAGTGTAATACTTTGCATGCTGGTAAGAGTTACATATTACATCATAGAAAAGAAGTTCTGTTTTAAAAATTTTAAGTTTCCTTGGTTAATTTTATATTGGTAGCATAACAAAGTTATTTCTTGTATAGATTTTTTTGCAAAAATTTTAGGCCGGTTGTCAAACATACATATTTGTGTGTAAAAAAACTGAGACTTGCTTTCACATATGGCTTCAAATTTCTGGTTGGAGGTAGCATTCCAGTTATATTCAGCTCAATGCTCTAGAGGTTACACAAGGTTACAGTTCATGAACAAATTATAATGCAGGTAATTCACCCACAGATGATCCGTTTGTTCAAAAATTATCAGATAAACTATTTTTTCTTTGCACCAACATTCAGCCTGATGGATAATCCATCTCTATTTTTACTGTAATCATGCCAATGCCATGGTAACATATCAGATATTGCATAGCTTTGCATAGCCTGCTATTGCACCATAATAATTGTATTTCCTGGAAGTTACCTAACAAGGTGAACCAATCATCTGTTTTTAATATAGACACAGTTCAATCTGACACCCCCAATCATTCAGAAATTTCAATTTTATAGTGTACATGTATGTCATAAATGAATTAGGAATTTTTCAGGTTCATTAGCCCTCAAGCTGAAAATATTTGTATCATTTCAATGAGTGTGCTAGCCGTCCAAGGCCAAAGTGCTCTTCATCAACGCAGCTTTAAATTTGTCATTTATCATTTCGGCGAATCATGAGACGAACGTAGGCGGGTGATCTCAAATAAACCCAATATAGTCATATTGTAGGCGCAATATCGTTTTCTACTCACAAACAATTCATTGATCGAGGTCCTATTTTTGAACCAGAACATCGAAATACATAAACAATCGGAGCCTATCAACCAGTGTCGGATCGTGTTTCGGTTTCGAATTGATAGATTACCAATTCTGTTCATTGCCTTATCACTTTGCACTTTAATCGTTTAGTTGTCTAAAATACAAAAATTTGTACACACGTCTCAGATGAAATGTAACTTTATTACCCGAAACCATAATAAACTTATATTTAGAAACTTTGTAGCAAAGTCTAAACACTTCATATGTCAAGTATAAACACAAGCGGCTTTATAACAGGAGTATTGCGTATTAGTTTAATATTTCGCTTGCTTGCCAAAAGATTAAGCGATACAAAAAATATCAACTCATAATAATCGCAAATCTCAAACAAATCAAGACAGTTTCCGAACAGGCAAAAAGGAAAGCAGTAAGTGCAATATAAGTTAAAGCAGAAAGGTCGAAAGGAAGCAAGCAATCAAACGACAACGTTATATAGTTCTGCAACGGACTATCATTTCCGCTCGCATTCTTTAACACTTGTATTAATCATGCTGAGTATTATGATATATCTCCAGTGTGCAATAAAAACAGTCTGATTAAAATGAAGTCAGTCATTTCTATTTGAACGATACTTATGTTTCATTCGATCATCGACTTCGATTCGTTTCGCTTCGTCTCATAAACAAAATCGAAGTGTGCCATTGCCAACTGTCATTTAATACACTCAATCGCAATGGTTCCGCGTTTATAAACAAACGAAATAACACGACGAACTTTTGAATCGGCGACAGTCCCTTGAGAATAGGTTATAACTATGTAATCCATAAATTGGAATGGTACTCCGATACATTACATGATCCTAATGAAATTACCAAAACAAGCATAGCGAGACACTATCTATAAACCCATAAATGGTTTTCGTATAACAAACGGAATAATTTAAGATCAGATAACTGAACAAATTACCCCGTTTTCGTGAAAGAAATGGGAATTAATTATCCTAAGTAAAAGTAATGTAAACTACATGCGCATACCTTGTTATTTTATAGCCTTTGGTCAATTGCTCTTTCGGCACTCTTTCGTTCGACTTCGAAGTGGTGGTTATGGCGAGCGAGGCGTGAAATTCGACATTGGAAATTTATTGTTATGGAATTTGGCACGTGTTATGCTAAGATGACCACGTGATACAGCAGCATCACCAATCAGCGTTTAGCTGGAACAATGAAATTGACAAAAGGAATTTTTCACCGAGGGGAATCCCCAAGGGGCAATGTTACAAAATGTTATATTTTAAGTCCAATAAATGTTCTAAACTTCTAATGCAACATACATTTTAAAAATGAAGTATTTTGTCAGTTTTCGTGTTTCACGAGGCAACGGTTTCAACTCTCCATGTTGAATGTGGGTTTAATTACCGCTAATTCACTTCCTTTTTGTTTCAAATAATTGCGATGTATTTACAATGTGATTGGACTGTATTTATCAACCACGCACATTATTGCATTTCTCTGTGTTATTTCAACAAATATCTGACAAAATTACACTCATGTCCGTTTACATTAGCGGATTGTTTGTGATTTCTATCCTTTAAATGCATGTTAACTATTGTGTTGTCAAAACCTTCAAACATATTAATTGTTCATGCACTGCTAGTCGGTTCAACATTGCTAGACTTACTAGTGTTGGTTTTATAAAATGCATTGGGTAAAAGGTTTGATGGTGAGATTAATGTTTACTCTTGCAGGAAATGGAGTTTATATAACAAAAATGTTTTAATTAGATCTTGGTTGCTGCGTTCAAAAATGCCATTAATAATTAAATCGGTCACACGTGGATGAGCACCATTCTTTAAATCATGCTGAAGATTAAGCCTGCCTGAACATGGACCCGTACTGCGTTACATAGCAACTAACTCTATTGGTACAATTTACTTCGAAGTGAAATTTCATGTATTGTTGGTAGAAAGCATTCGGCATGTGAATGCAGGTATAATTAATTTCGAATTCAGTTTTAAAAGAATTTAGGATCAACCAGTTTATTTAATGTGGACACTGCAGAGCCTCGTTTTCACTTGCTCTTGCTAATCCTAATAAAATGTTTCAAAGGTATTATAAAAAGGGTTTCTGTTCCAGTTGCGTCTTTTTTCTCTACTTTTACAGATAATGTGTTTACTCTACAGATAATGTGTTTAAGCTAAATTCAATTTTCTGTTTAAGGTGGCTCCCTAGGGTTTTATTTCCGAGGGTTACGTTCTTCGTATATATGTAAACTAAAACTCGTATGACTTCAAAATACGAACGAACGTTGTGTTTTATACGGAACTCTTTTTTGAAACAAAAGTGTGAACTTTGCTTTAGTTGAAAGCATAAAAGAGTTGTAAAAGCCAAAACGATACTTGGATGTGATGTTTCAAAA